CATCTAACTCGACTCCGTAGCTTTCATTGTGTTAATGAAAGCTTGCGGGCAATTGGGGAGTTTGATGTGTGCTTTTCGCTGAGGTGCATATTTATTGACGAGCACCATCATGCCTGTGGCCGCAAAGTATAGGATGCCCGACGAGATGTTGAGGGGGTCGACGGTTAATAGAGGAGAGGGGGAGCTTGTTCCAGTCATTCGTTTGCTCGCCAATGATGGAGTGCATCTCTACCCTGTCTACTGCTGCCTTGGCAATTGCGTACAGTTTGAACATTGGAGACTCGTCGGTACTGTTAGATGATATGTGTGCTGTTTGTTGGGGGTTTAATTTGTTGATCATAATATTGTCTTGATCTCTGAGGGAGAGCTTCTTTATGTTGATCATGGCAGCTGAGAATTGCTTGGAGAGGGAGATCGTGGGCTTGTTTCTGCTCGGACTGACTGGAGCTTGGAGGCTTGCTTGGAATCTCACGTGTCGCCGGCATGAGGTTGATGGTGATGGAGATAATGATGATGATGATAGTACGAAGATTTGGGATTTTAACGTGGCCATTATTTTTTCCTTTTCTTCCTTTGAATATTCAGTCTATTTCTACGATTAATTTCATTTGAAGGTGTTTTTGTTGTTTGGGGGTTTGTGTTGTGTGGAGAGGTTTATATAATAGAGGAGGATGGAGGAGATGTGGGATTTGAAGCAGTAATGCATGAATGTAGTTGAGATAATTATGGGTTTTGAATGTGTATTGTTGGCCGACTTAGTTTTTTTGTTTGAAACTGAAATGTTATTAGTTATGAAGATGTGAAAAGGTCTACCACTTGACTCAGCGAAAATAAAATTTAAATCTTGTTAATATAAAAATTCATTTTATTTACATAGTCTATATATGATGTGGAAATTTCCAAAAGAGCAAGTTTTGTGTTGTACGTGTGAAATATAGTTGATTACCTATTAACCTTTAGTTGTTCCATATTAAGTATAATGGTTGAGACCGACTATAATGGCAACATCTTCAATCTTACTTGATATTTTACATTATATAATCTTATTCAAAAGTTAACAATTACTCAATTATATTTAAGGAGGACTACGTAAATGTTAACAGTCAGTCAACTATAGTTTATATATATTAGGTAAAAAAATAACAGTTAATCTACAAAACTTAACATTCAAAAGAATAACGATAACAATTACTCAATTATACTTATATGGAACAACTAAACATTAACAGTTAATGGCTATAGTTCACATGTAATAGGTAAAACTTAACATTTAATTAACAAAACTTAACATTTAAAAGAAAAAAGTTAACACTTACTCCACTATACTTAACATGGAACATGTAAACGTTAATAGTTAATTTTCTATAGTTCACTTGTATTAGGTAAAACTTAATAATTAATCTACTGAATATTTATACATCCATTATTTTAAATTAACTGTTAACCTTTACCTATTCTATGTTAAGTATAGTGGAGTTTGTATTAACTTTTTCCTTTAAAATGTTAAGTTTTATTAATTAACTGTTAAGTTTTACCGACTAGATGTGAACTATAGCCGATTAACTGTTAATATTTAGTTGTTCCATATAAGTATAATTGAGTAACTATTATCTTTATTTTTTTAAATGTTAAGTTTTGTATTATACATGTGAAATATAACTAATTAAGTATTAATACCACAAAAATTAACATTTAAATGTTAAGTATAATTGAGTATTAATAGTTAATTAGTTATATTTCACATGTAAAATACAAAACTTAACATTTAAAAGAATAAAGATAACAATTACTCAATTATACTTATATGGAATAACTAAACATTAATAGTTAATCGGCTATAGTTCACATGTAGTCGGTAAAACTTGACATTTAATTAATAAAACTTAACATTTAAAAGAAAAAAGTTAACACTTACTCCACTATACTTAACATAGAACATGTAAACGTTAACGGTTAATTTGCTATAGTTCACTTGTATTAGGTAAAACTTAATAATTAATCTACTGAATATTTATACATCCATTATTTTACATTAAATGTTAACGTTTACCTATTCTATGTTAAGTATAGTGGAGTTTGTGTTAAAGTTTTCCTTTACATATTAAGTTTTGTTAATTAACTATTAAGTTTTACCAACTACATGTGAACTATAACCAATTAACTGTTAATGTTTAGTTGTTCTATATAAGTATAATTGAGTAACTGTTATTTTTATTCTTTTAAATGTTAAGTTTTGTATTGTACATGTGAAATATAACTAATTAACTATTAATCCATTTGTACAACATTTTGTGACAGTAAATTTGCACTATAATTCATTTTGCATTTTACTTTAAAGAAACACAGTTAACATATTAATACGACAGTAAATTTATACAATATTTATATATCACACCCTGGTTATAGTTCATATATATAGATAAGAATTTCAGGTCATATACACGTTAAATGATAATAGTTAATAGATTACAAATAACAGTTAACAGATAATGGATTATAATTAACAATTTACAAGTAATAGTTAACATATAATGTATTATAGTTAACACTTTTCAGATAAACAGTTAACAGATAATGATTAATAGTTAACAGGATAAGAGTGTTATTTAACAGATTACAAATAAGAAGTAACAGATAATAGATTATAGTACACAGTTTACTAAATACAGTTAACAGTTTACCAAATATAGTTATCAATTTACCAATTAAGGTTAACATGTTAACATGTTAAATAAGAATGTTCACACATAAGTGTGAACTTGACAGGATTTAGGGTTCAGTTCATCAACTTTATTTTTCTTTGTATTTGCTTTAACATGCGTATTGATGTGTAAAACATATCAAAACACGCATACGAGAGACCATCTTTATGGGCATCATGTGTCAACACGCGTTCGAAAATAAATTCAAGAGATAAGAAAATATAAGGTAATAGGAGCTTTTTGCACCAAAACCATCTAACAGAAAATTGTTGGGGTGCATAGGTGCTGATCAATCTCATACTTGAGCTAAACGGATGCAATACATTCTAATTCGACGTCAGTACAAATTACTAACAAAAATAGGGAGCTCTATTTGGCAATTTGCAGACAAACAACATCACAACGGAAGCAATTGCGTGACATCCAAGAGAGCCTAGCTCGTGCTGCACTAAGTTACACCACAACCACATGTAACATTACAAAAACTATAAGGCAGATAGAAACATATTTCAACACTCGAACAAGGGTACAAAGGTTAATTTACAAATCAACCCAAGAGAATATTTATAGCCAAGGATTAGATGAAAATTTTGTATCAATGGACATTGAACTCTACATAAAATCAAAAGCACCAGAATGTTTAAGTGCCACAAACACTCAACCAAGGCTACAAATCTCAAATACATATCAACCCAAGAGAATGTTTGTAGCCAAAGGATCAGAAGAAAACTTATGTTTTAATACTCAGACAGCTCTACATGGAATAAAAGCACCATAATATTAGAAAGACCATAACTTAAAGCTAACCGTCGGATCCGAGTCCAAAACCTCCAGAATCAGCGAAAAGCACACATCAAACTCCCCAATTGCCCGCAAGCCTTCATTAACACAATGAAATCTAGGGAGTCAATTTCGATGTTTAGTTGGAGCATTTTGTCGAATAACTTGAGGGCGGCGTGAGGATTGGATTGGGAAAGAAGAAGAGTCCATATAGGAGGGGGTTGCGGGGGTCGTGGGATTGGGAGAGGAGGATGGGGATCTTGGTGGGGCCGTAGGACAGGGCGAGGAAGGAGAGGAGAGGTGAGGGTTTGAGAGGAGGTTGAGCTTGAGAGCGAGTGAGTGGATTTGTGAGCGGAAGGGAGGGGAGGAGAGGGGTGAGGTTGAGGAGAGGATGAGGGAGAGTGCGCGGGGGTTGGGGAGTTCGCCGGAGAGGATGGTTTGAAGGGGGTTGGAGGGGAGGAGGGAGCTCCATTTGAAGGTTTTGGTTGGGGTTTTAATGGGGGTTTGCTGGGGCTTTGGGTTTTTGGGTTTCTGGCATTTGAGGGCTTGAGGGGGCTAGGATTAGAGGGAAGAAGATTGAAGAAGAAGTGTGGAGGGGTAAAGTTGGGATTATGAGTAAAAAACATATAATATTGGGCTAATTATGAGCTAGAGGGGTTGGGGCATAATTTTTTCAAAATTTAGAGGCTGCAGCACATTACAAATAGTATGAGGGGTTGGGGCACATAGTTTTTTGGGTTTTGGGGCCTTGAAGTAATTTTTCCAAAAAATAATTTGAAGGGCAAATTTGAAAATCGTGCCAAGGCTGGATACAAGAAAAATCCCGAAAAGAAATAAAAGAACACAATGCAAATTTGAATATCTGAACATCATTCACATATTCGACCCGAATTTTGAATCCTAATTCGAATAACATAGTATTCGACTCGACATAGAGTATAAAGAATAATGTACGAAGCGTGGAGAAGATGTTCCAAAGTCAAAATTAAAGCTTACGATTACACTAATTTATATAATATTTACACTGATTCAATATTTTGTTTGAACTAGTTCTATATACTTCTGTATTATGTCAAAATAAGTTTCCTTTTTCTTTGTTAGCATCAAGAATACAAAACTCATTGACAAATTAAATGCAGAAAGTAGCCAATGATTAGCCAAATCCAAGTTAGAGTTCAGCGATGTAAAACTCATCAACTAATTAAATATAATGCAAACATATCCTTTAATGAGAAAATTACTAAAAAGAGAACTCAAACCTTGCAAAATGGGATGACCATATCCATGATTGCTCTACTCTAGCTTTATAGTTAGTGAAACAGCTGAACATACTTTTTTGTAACAAGACAGTCTAATTCTTCTCCATATAAATTTCTTACTTGATCAGCACAAGAAGAAAAATAAAATGATAAAGAAAACATCAATCCCAAACTGAACAACTATCATATATCAATATTTTCAGGTTTATAACATTCCTGCCAAAATATCAATAATAATATTTTCAAGTCTAGACGGGCACCTGGACGAAGTTCCGGTTTTTGGAGGGGGGGAAAATCATATATCAATATAGTACCATAAGATATTGGCACAAATAATGGTACATACATAGCTAACACAGAGAAACCTGTTATAATATTACATTAAACTAAGGTCGGAAAAATTGTTTACAGAGATAGGTAGCCTTCATTATATCTTCGGCTATAGCTAATAGTGATGATGATAGCCACAACCCCACCAACAAGAAATAACGCCGGCCAACATTTGGTGAGTTCTCGTCTCCCTGCACCAAGAAAATGTTAGCATTATCTGATGTATGATACGTGACAGGTTCTATTCCGATTTGGATTTCGAAATGAAGTTATCAGCAAACCAATCTCAAGCAGAAGAAATTACCCTTGGGAATGTCATATCTATGCATGCATAACCAAATTCAAATTCACATGAATACGAAAAGGAAGAAAGAGCTTACAGAGCAACGATAAGTTGTGGAATAGAATCACGGACTTCGGCTCTGGTTGTGGTTCGGCTATCATGATATAGAAGAGTCCCATAACTCCAGTGTGCATCTGGGAGTTGTTATAGTTGGATTCAATTGTCAGAAACTCTCCATCTTCAATCTTGACGGAGCCTGGCTCTGGATAACAGGTCGACATTCCAACAACGTAGCCCTCCTCATTTCCCGCTTCGTTTCCATTTCCATAGGTTGGCATCGAAGTGCACAAGACCCTTCCATCCTGATATAGTGAATCAGGAAAAAAAAAGAAAAAAAAAAGAAAACTAATAATTGAAGAGTTTTCATGAACATAGTACTCTCTTTTTTTTTTTGGTTTTAATTATTCATATCATCATTTGGTTTCCAGAATCCTTAAACCCAAATAGTCAGCTGGCCATAGACAGAAGAACCCAGCCCCCCTGAATGTTGATGGCCAACTGCGTACACAATATCTCCTCCTTTGGGAATAATTACTATTGCCTTCTTGGTATCAACACATTTTCCACTATGTACTGTTTGTGGTTCACATTGATCAACTTGGTATTCTATCTGCAATCAGTCAGCAATTGATCGAAGGAGATACTCTACGTAAAATGTCGTTGCAGATAAAACTTGAAACTTCCGCTGAATTCAACTATAACTTGAACAGGAACAAACTTGATTATAATGCTTTCGCAAGTTATTAGACTTCTCAAGCCTAAGAGAAGTTAATATTTTGAGAAGAAAAGTTCAATTAAAACAAATGTTTTATCATTCAAAATAAATTAAATGTAAAAATAGTATTGGTACCTTGCAACTTGAACTAGCACCTCCTGGTATCCTCCCTGTATCAGTGACATCAAGTATATAAATCTTGACAGGTATAATACTCTCATTCCACTGAGTCCACTTTACACTATATCTTAAATAGAGTTTCCTGATCTCGCCACCACCGAATCCCTCTCTTAATTGGCATTGAGTCTTATCATAGCAACAATTAAGCCCTCCAATATAATTTTTTCTCAGAGGATATCCGGATTCATCCTTAGTCACATTGTAGAGACTACACTTACACTCAGTGCACCCTAATCGATCCTTCACCCCTCGAGTATCTATAGCATGGATATCCAAAACCCATCTCTCCTCATATCCATTCGGGATTGTCTTAGGATCCCCAATTTCTATACCATAAGGATTAGGGACCCATGTTGAAGTTCTCCGTGTTTCTGAACCGAGACCAAGGTATTGATCAAGAGGACCATTGCACATACCGGAATTTGTTTTAATGATAACATTTGATAACTTGTCTTCATCTTGAGCTTCCTGCACTCTGTGATATCTATATTGTTGACATATTAGGATAGTTGAGGGTGTTACTTGTAAGATGTGTTAGTAGGGGGCCTATATAAGCCCATGTTATCTCATTAATAAGATTAGGGTTTTCATATTCTTTATGGTATCAGAGCCAGGTTCCAGCTTCCTGCACTCTGTGATATCTATATTGTTGACATATTAGGATAGTTGAGGGTGTTACTTGTAAGATGTGTTAGTAGGGGGCCTATATAAGCCCATGTTATCTCATTAATAAGATTAGGGTTTTCATATTCTTTATGGTATCAGAGCCAGGTCCCA